CCCGCCTCCGCCGCCGCCGCCTCCGCCTCCATCGCCCACGGGTGCGAAAGTTCGCGGCGCGGCGGACCCCACCGCCACCGCCGCGCTTGCGCCACAGGTGGCGACGTCGAGTCCGAGGCGCGGCGACCCCGCGGACCGCGAACGGCTCTCGACCTTCCGCTCCGTGGCGCCAGTCAGCGTCTAACTTTAGGAGTTAGCTTATTCTCACAGCATTCCGAGTAGTCACAGTCGCCGGGATACAATTGTGTGTGAATGCGGGAAAAGGAAGATGTAGATTACAGTACCGATCGAAAATTAAAGAGGGGAGACCAACTACATTTATGGGCCCTTCTGTCCCCCCACTGGACCTGCATTAAATTTTTCCATTACACTTTTTTTACAATTAGAAACGACTTATTGTACTAGTAAATAAATGAAACAATACAAAGAATATGAAATTTTGACTTGAATTATACGATTAAAAAATACAATTGGTTTTATGTTGACCCATTTACAGAGTTTCCGGATGGTTTGAAAAGCTTCTTTTCCATGTGTCGTGTACAAATTCTCAAAAAAAAACAAAAATCTTTAAAATGCGAAGATGTATTTATATTTACGGGAATAAAATGTTTTATTACGTAATACTGCGGCGCCCCTTTCGAAATATTGAAGGGGGCCACTGCCTCCCTGACTCCCAGTGTTCATGCTTTTGTTATTAATATTTGAACCGTTACTAAAGATGAAAATAACTATACATGAAAAACTATACATGAAAATAACCATCCGCAAAAAATACGTCTTCTCCTCCCCCTTCTTCTTCTTCTTCTTCTTCTTTTTCTTCTTCTTCTTCTTCTTCTTCTTCTTCTTCTTCTTCTTCTTTTTCTTCTTCTTCACCATATTTTCTCTTTCTTTTGTTTTCTGGGATACAATCATATTCTTTTTAAGTATTTCCATCTCTTTAAAAATGTTCTGGGAATCCGCTCTTCTTTTAAGTTGTTACCTCTTCTGAGCTTCGAAGCAATCCGAAATATGTATTCCGGAGAGAAAGATAATTTATTATTCTTTTCTAAAATTAATGAATAAATATTACTTATAATTAGAACCTCAAAGTTACTATCATTTAATTTTACCTCTGGAGTTGCTTTAATTGATATCATTTTGTCTTTTTTGTTTTTACCTATTTTAGCTTTTGATACTCATTTTTGGCATTTTGCCTTCTTCGTAATTTATTCTTCTTCGGCATTATTTTTTTTATTTTCTCCTAGCACCGATCTCGATCAAGTTGGAAACATACCTTCAAGCGTGAACAAAAGCTCATGGTCGGGTTTTGTGTTTCTGTGAAAGTGGAGACTCCAGAACGAGGTATCTTCCGGTAGATCTGGTAAATATCTAAATGAGAAAGGAAGACTAGTCAAGATTTTTGATTTTTACTTTCTTACTACGTGTATACGTATGTATATACGGAGTAATATTCATAGTATAGGGAAATTATGTGTTGCTGCGAAAAATGGATTTCGAGAGTTTGAGCGAAAATACACGTTTTGGGGTCCCCGATACCGAAAAAGTGTTTTTTCAAAGCGTCCGTCTGTATGTCTTTCCGTCTGTCCATCTGTCTATCCGTCTGATGTATGTGAACTAGTGGCTAAACCATGCGTAGAATTTTCTTCAATTTGAAGAAACCCTTGTCCATTTGGCCTGAGCCAAAGCTCTGCAATTTTGAAAATCGTTCATTAGTTTGTGAGGATACTTTACATGTAGATCCCCGGATATTTTCAAAATTTGCTCAAAAACGGCTCCAAATTTTTTTTATTTTGGTCTAGCTCAAAATTACGCATTTTCAGAAACGTTTAAACGCCATTGTCTCAAAACCGGCTCCAAATTCTTTTTTCAAACATTTCGAACGGTTAGTGCTAATTGCATCTTTAATGTGAGCAAAGTTCATTTTGAAGTTTCTTTTTTTTTGTTTTTCCAAAGAACACACAAATGTATTTTTTTCAAGATCCCTCAACCCGGTAATATGCACATTTACAACATTTTGTAAACACTATAATCTTTGTGAGTTAATGCGCTTCAAATAACTTCAAATGAAGTTTTTCTAACACTAAAAACTTTTCTACAGAAAAGTGCTTCAAATGTCGAACTTACAGTAGCGCTTAAGTGCCATTTTCATAAAACCGGCATCAAATTTTTCAAAGAAAATTGTCATTTATGACTCAGTTTGCTGTTCTTTAATATCCTTAAAATAATATTTCCATTCTGATATTAGGAAACCAAACAATTGAAGATAATCTTTTAAAAAATGTATTTTGGGCGGCGTTTAATTGCAACTGGTAAGCTGTGGCAAGTTCTGATAGCTTACCGGGACGAAAGGAAATAGAAAACTAATACAGGAAAGTCTGTGCCATTCTGTAGCGTTACTAGTTTCAATCGAGTCGCCCGGCTTTGTTCACCCACGAGGAATCTCTTTCTACAATGGATTATATCTCCGATCCCTTTTGTGCAGAGATCTCTCTGTATAAGATGTACCCTTCTCCCTGCTCGGGATTACGCAAGTGTGAAGTTTGAAAACTGTAATTCTGTTTTCACTGATGCCATTTCAAGATTCAATAGGCAGTCCAGGAGACCATATTGTAATGACAGCGGCGTGAGTAAAACAAATCCGTAGTCTTCATATCAGGCAATGTAGTTAACAAAAAAATAATCGTTTCATTCTTACACAAAGTGCTAATGTAAATTTTATATCGTAGTCATCATATCAAGAGGTCATGTGCAATCAAGGTAACAAAGAAATGATCGTTTCCTTCTTACACTAAGCGCTAATGTAAATTTTAAATTGTAGTCATCATGTCGGGTGGTCATGTGCAATCAAAATTACAAAGAAATAATCGTTTACTTCTTACACAAAGTGCTAATGTAAATTTTATATCGTAGCCATCATATCAAGCGGTCATGTGCGATCAAGGTAACAAAGAAATGATCGTTTCCTTCTTATACTAAGCGCTAATGTAAATTTTAAATTCTAGTCATCAAATCGGGTGGTCATGTGCAATCAAATTTACAATGAAATTATCGTTTCCTTCTTACAATAAGTGCTAAAGTAAATTTTAGAGTTAGGATAAAAATGTGAATCATTTAAATATGATATTTCATTGATTATATGTCTTTTGCAGTCCTACTTTAAGCCAGAATAAATGCTTTTTGCAAGCCTCTTTAAGTAAAAACAGATGCTTTTTTGCCTGCATATTTTATGTAAAATGAATCCCTGATCTTTATGGCTCTACGTATAATATTAGGTATAATAAATTATGAGTATTATGCATGTCACTAACATCGTATGTTTAATAAAATATGGTATTGAATGAATCATTCTGGGCGTGAGAAATTGCTGAATAATTAGATTTATATTTACCCATTCTATAACAATCCCACTACAGTGCAGAAGTGAATATCTAGATCTTTTCGATATTTGTTAATTGTATGTAACAAAAGTATTACATGTAAATAATAATTCTAGGCGTGAGACATTGCGTAATAATTATATTTATATTTGCTCATCATAGCAAATGTACTCCAATGAAGTGAACATCTAAACCATTGCAATATTTTTTTAATAGAATGTTAAAAAGGAATTACATTTAAATAATCATTCTGGGTGTGAGAAATTGATTAATAATTACATTTGAATTTGCACATTATAGAACAATCGCACTTCAGAACGGAAGTGAACAACTAGACCTTTACGACATTTTTTTAATAGAATGAAAGTTCGTGGCTTCACAATATTCTCATTATTCATCATGACTCATGAGTACTGTTACTAAATGCATTATCAGAGTTTAATTATTATCATCAGGAATCTTCTTCCTTCTCCTCTTCAAGCTCTTACTAGAGGTGCACAGAGTAGCACAGACTTTCCCGTATTAGTTTTCTATTTCCTTTGGACTCAGCTAGCAACTCGGACTTGCCACTTACTCTTGCCAGCTGCTATCTATCGCCGCCCAAAGTACATTTTTTTGACATTATTAATTTTTCGGTTTTCTAAATGTAGAGCGTTTTCAGATTGCTAAATAATAGTAATACTTTGTTTTAAATGACAATTTTCTTTGCAAAATTTGATGCATTTTTTTAAAAAATGGCGTTTAACAGCTACTTTAAATTCGAAATTTGAGTCTCATTTTCACTAAACATTTTTGAGTTTCCGAAAACCTTCAATTAAAGTCATTTTAAGTACTTTAATTCACAAATATAATAGTGTTTACAAATCGCTGGAAATGTGCATAGTAAAATCATTAGAGGACTTTCAAAAAAATTTCATTTGTGTAATTTTGGAAAAAAAAATACATCGAAATAAACTTTACATCAGATTAAAGAGTGCAATTAGCATTATCCCTTCGAAATGTCTGAAGAAAAATTTTGAGCACTTTTTGAGAAAATGGCGTTTGAGAATTTCTTAAAACGAACAGACGGACGTTTAGATAAAAAATAAAACGTTTTGGGTATCTGGGGACCCCAAAACGTGAATTTCCGTAGAAATTTCGAAATCAATTTTCCGCAGCATTACATAACTTTCCCTGCACTACGTATATTAGTCCGTATCGTGAGGTTTCCACAATTTCCAAATATTTTTTTTCTAACTGGAAAAACAATGCATAGATTAGAAGCTAGCCCTGAAATTTGCAAGATCATTTCAATTCACGCTAACCATTAATTTCATTTCCTTTCATTTATTTGCATCTAAGCACAATCTACTACAGATGCATTCTTAAAATTGTTCTTAAAATTAAAAGAAAATGTTTTTCTGAACTGTAGTCTCCCCGTCTCTCTCCCCGTCTCTCTCTCCCCCGTCACTCTCTCCCCGTCTCTCTCTCCTCGTCTCTCCCTCTCTCCGTCTCTCCCCCTCTCCGTCTCTCTTCGTCTCTCTTCGTCTCTCTCCCCCCGCTTCTCTCTCCGACTCTCTCGCTCTCCCTCTCTTTTTCGATCTGTCCCTCTGTTCTACTCTCTCTCTTCC